CTGTGGAAAGAGGTAATGTAACTTGTGGTAAGGGCACTTGTGGAGAAGACACTTGTAGCTGCTAGTTAATTTTATGCTCCAGTGGAATTCATGATTACCCAAAGAAAATAATTCATTTTCTTGGTAGAAGTGTTAGAGGGTCAGCTCTTTAAAGAAAGAGACTTTCTCTTTCTCACTGTATTCCTTCCTCCAGCAACTAAACTCACAGCTACCTCTATAGCTACAATAGCACATACTTCCTCCATTATCATGGTTGTGAATAACTTTTAGACTTAAAATGGTTAGACCTAGATTTAAATACTGCTTCACTTAGTATTTATTAACTGTTGACTTCTGTACATCCAATTTTGTAAGCAAAACTGTAGAGATATGTGCCCCCTTTGAAAAGTTACTGTACTGTCCAATGAAGTAACACAGGCAAAGTGTCTTATAGCAACAAAAATGGTGCTGGAAGTCATTGTTACATAGCAGCAGCTTACCAAATGGAGGCAGCAGCAATGGCATAGGTTGTGATGACAAGGATAATGAGCACTTGAGAAGAAGGCACCCTGCCTTCTCCACTAGGTAGCATTTAAGCAGTCTGATGAATGAACTTATGGAGACGGTACTAAGTATGTGTAGACTAAAAATCCCCAAACAACCCCGAGATGGTATGAAGACCATTTGCACCTTTCATAGCCTAAGATAATAATTGTTGATACCTCGGACTCATACTCATTAAGGTAATCAATACCCTTTTAGTCAGAGAGGTAGACTTCAGTCATTGCCCAGTGGTCACAATAACATTTACTGACTGCAAGAAAAGATGATATAACAAAACATCTAGTTCTTCTAGTGATTAGGTAAATATTGCTAAATGTCTCCACAGTGTTATTCTACGGTACTATTTCTTTGCTCTGTTTATGAAGAAATCAAATGCTTGAGACCCCTATGGAGCCTAAGGGAACAGAGCAGTCCAAGTTCACAGCATGCAAGCAAATCTGAGTGTCACAGTGTGACCCTCCCAGGAACAAAAAGGTTGCTCTGCTCTCCATTGAGCAGCTGCAATTAACATCCAAGGGGAAATGCAATAAATCATACCAGTCTAATTTCTAAATCTACAACAGCAAGCATGACCACTCTGTTACGCTTGGTGAGAGCAGTGTTTTGCTCTCCCCTCACTGAGGTCTTGCATGCCTGGCTCTAATCATGTTCCCAGAAAGCACATGGTAGGTACGGGTGTTGGCACAAGAAGAGAGGCTTGTGTTCATTTGGTCCAGGATTGAGAATGAAAATCTGCTCAGTGGAAAAAGAGGTTAGCATATACATAGAAAACAAAATTGTGAAGTAAGGGAGTAGAATAAGGTAGAGGAAAGGAAGATCATTATGGGATGATCTGAAATAAATACATTCAATAATGGGAAACATGATGAATATCATGCTAGATCTTTGATAAAGATCTCAGCCATTTATTCTCTCAACAAATATTGACTCACAACTTAGTACCAAGCATGGTCCTAGCTGCTGGCAACATACTTATAAATAAAACAGACAAAAATTCCTGCCTTTGTGGAATTTGTTTATAGAGGAAAACAAGCAAAAGTCACAGAAACAAGCTATCTTATTTAAATGTACATATCATAAATAGTAATGGGTGCTCAATGGGAAGTCATTGGAGAGTCTAAATGGAGGGGTTACATGACTTGCTATGTCCTCAACTTTCTGACTGCTGCCCTGAGCACCGTTGAGCCAGCTGAGGACAATAATGCCAGTCAGGGAGCTCCTGCCATTGTCTCTAGAGGAGAAGGTGCTGGTGAGTGCCAGGGCAGCAGCCACACAGAAGGAAGGAGTGGATTCTGCCTACACTTGAAGCTAAGTCTGTGAGATCTCATGTCTGCTGCCCGTGTGCATGCCTAATGACCTTGCAATAGGAATCATCACCTACAGCCTCTTCCTCCCCTCGGCCACCTGATTCTCCACCACTACCACTACTTTCTACCACACATAGTTCCTCGAACAGAGTCTGTCTATATGGCCTCTCCACTTGGAGCCAGCTGCTCTTCATGCTCTCCTTTGGCCCAGGGTCATCCACCCTCAAGAGCTAAACTAGCTTTGACTTCTCTGATGACTCATCTGCCTCATCCTACATTTAGATAAATCAAGCAAGGTCAGATCTTCACCTCCACATCCTCTACCCATGCCATGCCTCTGCCACAGCACTCACACTACTGTCTGTATCTCTATATTTGATATGAAACTGAACATGAACACTGGACTGTCATTTTTTTCCTTTGATTCTGAATCCCTCAGCTTTTAGAGTATATGATACACAGTTGATTGTCAATAAAGTTTTGCTTAAAAACAATGATAAACAGCATGCATCCGTTTTCCAGAATGACAACTATAAGCTCTTCACTAGCCATATGAAAATGAAGATTTTGTTAACTGATGAATATATGCAACACTTAGGGGAGGAGTAAGGACAATAGCAGGGACCATTACATAGCTTCAAGCCTTATGTAGAACAAAGTCTTCAGGTCCTCTCAGAGCTACCAATGTAGCAGCCAATAGGCATATCCCCTAGTCTTGTTACTAGAGAATCTAAAATAATTTGAGGATGTGCCTGATTGTCAGATCGATGCATCAAAAGAAAAGTGTAGTAGACAACATCAGGCCTGCAATTGTGTCTGGCTTGATGCTCTCTTGATATTTTTCAATGGACACAAACTTGAGTTAGTTGAGGACAAGCACAAAGAAGCCAGGCATCACTAATAAAGATGGAAAAGGATTTCATATCACAGAACATGATGGTAACTACACGATCACCAAAATAGATTAAAAAATTCTGGGATATAATAATTATGGAGACATGATTACTCTGTGCTCCTTGAAACCATTTCTTTCAAGAAATGTTATTTCCTGTGAGTATGGTGAGAGAACACCTAATCTCAGCATTCTGGGAATCTAAGGCAGGAGGATCACAAATTCCAGACAACAATGGATAACTTAGCTAGACCCAGTCTTTAAAAAAAAAAAAAAAAAGCACCTCCCCACCAAAGTTTCTTTTCTTCAACCATGCTGAGATTTCTTGCTATTCTTAAGAAGAAGGGAATAATAATCAAGCCCTTCAGGCTCTGTTTAGTATCCCTCAGCCCTCCTCTTCAGCCTCAGCTCTCTTCTCTTTGCAATCACAGAGACCATATCCACCAATCCCCCAGCTTCCTACTCCTGGAGAGACACGGTGATTCCTTTGACCACCTGAAAAACTTCTTTCATGCAGTTGCACTTAGCTAATTCTTGCATGTTTTAGACCTCAGTGCAAGTTCTGGAAGCTCTTTGCACCTCTGAGATTTAGGGCATATCCTCTTAAAACACCATAGCTTCCCCTTCATGGCACCACCTGTATCTTCAATGTCACATTTTACATGATTGTTTGAGTTATATTTGTCTACCTCAGGAGTCAGAAGCTCCATAAGGGCAGAGACCACATGTGTTTTTTGTTCAGTACTGCAACTTTAACCCTGGCACAGAGACCACGATTCTAGATAAACACCTGGTAGGTCCATGTTCACTCATTCACTGAAAGGCGCTCTGCTGGACCTAGAAGTGAAATTACTGCTACCTCTCAAGTACTCTAAGGTAGTAGAGCCAGATCAATAGCAGGCCTGCCTAATACATCAGCTTTACAGGGCTGCAGGAGAGGTGAGCTCACACCAAAGAACACCAGGAGGGATACCAAGCTTAGCCCAAAGTCAGGGTTTTTTGTTTGTTTATTTGTTTTGTTTTGTTTTATTCATTTAGTACAGGGTATACAGGGAGGGTCTCCCTACATAGATCGGACTCATAGTGATCCTCCTGTTTTCAGCCTCCCAAGTGCTGGGATTACAGATGTGTGCCACATGCCCAGTCTCAATTGCCATGGCAACATACCCCAAGGGCAGAGCCACCATGGCACACCAGGGATTGAACCCCTACCACTGAACTCTGTCTAAGCAGGAAGTCCGCTGGGCTATCAGGCTGGCCCTCAAAGTCAGTTTTTGATGTCCTCTACAAAAGGCAGTATTTAAGTAAGTCCTGAGTGAGCTATAGGCAACTGGGAGCTGATACAAACAAGCAGCACAAAAGGCAAACAGGTGGTAGACCATACTGAGGAAATTAAATAGAGTTGGTGCAAAAGAAATGAGAGAAAGAAAGGAAATTAGGCTAATGAGGTTAGGAACTTTTATATTTTGTGAAAAATGTTTTGGATTGTCTTTAACCATAACTACAATGGGAACTAAGTAAAGGGTTTTGGCAAGTAAGTGATAGAATCCAGTTTCAGTTTAGAAGGATGGCTCTGTGATTTGTATTAGAAGTGGTCAAGGGCCAGGGAGATGGCTCAGTAGAATAAGCACTTCCCTGGCACGTGTAAGGGCCTGAGTTCAATCCCTGGTTCCACCAAAAAAATAAAATAAAAATAAATACATAAAGTTTCTGGACTCTTTTAGAATATTTTGCTGAGTTTAAACACCTATAATATTCAATAACGGAACTTAGAAAAAATGGGGTATACAGATGAATGTCCATTTTGTATCTGTGTATTCAAAGTGGTTAGGATAGATATATAGTTGCATTCTCTTAATGAATAGAATGATTTGTTCTAATGGTTTGTAAATAGGATCTCAAGTCTGCATCTTGTACAGCAATTAGCCACTAAGAAGAATATATGCAGTGTGTTATTTGTTGAATCTGTACTTCTGATTTTATGTGAAACTGTCTCATTGCTATCTGCTTATCAATAAAATTTTGAAAAAAATTTTAAAAAAGAAGTGATCAAGTGTGAAAACAGATCAGACAGGAGAATATGTCACAATTCAGGTAGGAGATGATGCAGCTTAATGTAACAGCATAGAGGAAGAGGTCTAAGGAGATTGAGTCCAAACAGGCAAAATTTTGCCAAATTTCTGTGAACGCACCATGTCCAGCCTGGTGTCCTGCACACAGTCATACATATTTTCTAGGAAGAATGGTAAAAGTTGTGC